GATCGATGGAATAACGAAGAGAGAGAACCGGGGAGATGATCCAGTCTTGGGGACGCTGTATACCTGAATTGGGCATGGTATCGTATTTGAAGCTGTCTCATTGGCTAGTCCGTGGGTTCTTGGCTATGAACAAGCCCCCGTAATGCGACTATACGTGTGGGGATACACGGATCCGAAGATCTTAGGGAGAGGCGGCGCAATAGCCCTGTACCTGGATGCTTGCTTGGTGGCAATGCTGCAGCCCATGGTAGATCATACAGTCGTGATGAGGCTCGATATGGTTGTTGATTTGTATAAGTTGACTACATCTCTCTTCAGATGAGATGCCTCTCTTCTCAACAGTCAAGGACAACGTTCATTCACTCAAGCTTCCTCCTCGCCCTGTTTCTCCTAATTACAATCCACTCTCTTTTCTACTCACAAACTCGAAAGCCTGAGCATCGCTAGTCTCAGGATGAAGCAAGTCAACTTCTTCACCGCGACCATGGTAGCCTGTATGGCCAAGCTCGTCGTACGCCCTCCCCCCCCTCTCTAACCCTCTACAACTTCAAGTCTTCTCACCTACTGGAATATCTAGGCCTCGGCGGACATCGTCGCAGACTCCCAAAACGTGACGGCCCCAGACTTCATCGGAAAAGCAGCCACGTCTCAACCCCTCCGCCCCAAGGAACGCTTCTCCCCAGACGCCCTCCATGCCCACATTGACGGCGGCAACACCCGAAGCGACGACTACATGGGCCCCCTCGGCATCTCCTCCGTCGCCTCCTCGGCCGCCGTGCAGACGGGCTACATGTTCTGGGAGAACAGCACGAGCCTCCTCGTCGCACTGGAGTGCGTCTCCTCCCAGGCGCCCATCGGATTCTGCCTCGCGGCGCTGGACCCGGAGACCATGGACGTTCTCGTCCAATGGACCGCGCCGGCGGGACGTACTGCCGTCTCGAATTACTGGCAAGTCGTCGACAACCACGTCGTTATGCCCACCCTCGAAGGCTTCATCATGGAGATCCAGCGCCTCGGCACCGGCACCTCCACGACTTTCACCCAGATCCGCGAGGTCGACGTCTCGTCCCGTCTCCCTTCGGGCTCCATCATTGCCATGGCCGGGTACACGGACGACGAGAACCTCTGGTTCGTCGCCACGCCGGCGCCCCTCGTCGGCCTTGAGGGAAGCAACACCACCACCATAGGCTACGTCCAGCCCGACGGCACCATCTTCAGCACCGCCCTGGACAACCAAATCGTCGAGAACGGCATGGCCGTCAACGGGAAAAACATCTACGTCCTCACGGGTCCCGCCGGCCCCGAAGACCACGCCGACGCCCGGGGCCACTTTTATGCTTTCCAAGCGGATACGGCCAACGGTGGTGGCGTGGTAGCGGCCTGGAACGAGACGTACCTCGCCGGCAGCGGTATCAAGCCAGGCGGCCTCTCCCGCGGCTCCGGCGCGACACCAAGCCTCCTCGGACAAAAATACGTCGCCATGACGGACAACGCCGACTCGCAAATAAACCTCAACGTCTATCGCCAGGCTTCCGCCATGGCCGAAGGCCAAACCTCGAGCTTCGTCTGCTCCGTCCCGCTCTTCACGCCCGGCGCGAGCCTCAACGAGGCCTCGCTGACGTCGCACTTTGACGGGACGACGTACAGCGCCATGATCCCCAACTGCTACAACTCGCCTTCCTTCCTAGACGTCAGCGAGGATGACGTCAACGGCAGCTACAATAACCTCACGCAGGTGACTCCCGGCGTGGCGCGCGTGCGGGTCAATGCCGACGAGAGCTGCGAGCTGGTATGGGATTTGCCTATTGTGGCGACCATGATCACCCTGTCGACGAGTAACGGTATCTTGTACGCGTACACGCAGGACCGGGAGCTCGCCGTGGGCGGGGAGTATGTGTGGTACATTGCGGCGTTTGATTATGCTTCTGGACAGGAGATTTGGCGCAAGAGAGTTGGTGCTGGTGGTGTGTTTAACCCCGGTCCGTCGCATCTGCAGCTCGGTGCGAATGGAAGGATTTATGAGGGTATTGTTGGTGGTGTTGCGTGGGTTGAGGATTCTCCTTCTCCTTAAATGGGGTTTTCTCATTGCCGGTGTTTCTGGTGAGAGAAGCTGCTTGGCATCGTCAGTTGGTGAACGGCGGTAATATCGGGATGGGGCAGAGCTATATGAATGGATATAAGTTTGCTAGATTCCACGCATATGAGACTTAGATCACTTACTGTCCCATTAATCTAATTCCTTCACCACTACTTTCTGCTTCTGATAACGATTAGAAATCTCTAAAGGGACGTCGTGAGGTTATACTTACATGAGTCTAGCCAAGATTGGCATCAGCCTCGTGATAATCCTGTGTGAGTATAGGTCTAAGTAGAGCGTTCAACCATCCTCGCGTTATACAAAAAGCAGAGATGATACCACTTCCTCCCATCATCCTAAACATACACTCGCTTTAAAGGACAAGAACCCTATGCTAACCTCTCAACTCTCAACCCACTCAAACTCCTCAACAGCCAACGTCATCTTCGGCCACCACTCCCTCGGCAAGAACCTCATCACTCCATCAAACTCCCTCTCCGCCGCACCCTGCGCCCACCACAAATGCGTCGCCCTCCTCAACAGCATGAAGAAGTACCCGACGATAGCTAACGTCCTCGGGTCCTGCGCCTCCAACAACTCGACGAACCGCGGCGGGACGTGCGCAGGGAACCGCAGCAGATCACGCTGCAGAGCCGAACCCTGGATCTTATCGAGACGGCCGACAGCAATACGATACGCTTCCAACGTCTCCGGCTCTGTCTTTTCTTCATCGAGGTCTTCTAGCAGGAAGTCAAACGCCCCCGGCTTTGCTGGCCTCGTCGTCTCGTTTTGCTGTGATGAGGTCTGCCGCTCTGGTTTATAGAGGTGGCTTATCCTACTATTCCGGATCCCGGGCAAAGCGACCTTTAACAGCGCGTTGACGTTCCGAAAGGGCGTGAACCAGTGATGCGGGACCCGCGACCCCGCCCCCGTCCCCTCTCCCGCATCCGATCCGCTACCGTTGCCATCGAGAAACGACTGGTTCGCGCTGGTGTGGAACATGATGATAGTACACGTCGCCATCACGACGGGAGCATTCTGCGCGTTGATCCCCTCGCGCACAATTTGTCTCGAATGCGCCTCGATAGCCCTCGCCATGTAAGCATGCGAGGCCTCCGACACTGCTGCTGCATAAGTACTACTGCTGCTGTCGTCATCCACCCTCGCCGCGGACCGCCGGAGGTGAAACGCCGCAAACCCGAGAACAGCGTCCATAAGAGTATGATCTGTCACGGCGAGGTCTGTAATCCAGCTCGACCAACTTTGCTGGTCAGTCGAGGGGTACGAGGCCGTCATGGCCAGGTAGTGCCGGAAGAAGCGCGATTTCATGCCGTCGGTCATGGTGTCTACTAATACTGGAGGACTACTCGGCCGTATGAGAGTCAGGGATGTCAGTGATAATGCTGTGGACGAGGACCACGATGTAGACGATATTAATGATGACGATGATGATGACGATGATAATATGAAGGGTGGCGCCGGCGGACAAGAAGTGGGTTTCAGACTGAAGCGGGATTGTAAATCGATGAAATCACATCGCAGGTTCGCCTTTGTGCAACCTCCACAGGCGGGCCGGACCTCATCGCACTTTTGTGTATGATCAGTATTTGTACTTGCTTTTAAAGTAGGTAGACATGTAAGAAGGTATGCAGTAAGGTATCAAGTGAGAAACCCGTACGACCCCCTGCACCCTGGACGGGGTAGGTCGTAGGTCGGGACACGGTGATCGTAAGGTCGGGCCGCCTCGTTCAGAGCTCACCTTGATTCGCCGCGTCTTGCAGCGCCTGCAGCCGAGTCTCGACTTGTGATGGGCTCGTCTGATTCTCTCCGTCATTGCAACCGGGTAAGATGTGTAGTGGATCTTACTTCGGGTGTTTGCAGCAAGTATCGGGCCTAGAATCCTTCTGGAAGTTACAAGATACACCAAACGCAAGGGCAAGCAAGCAAGAAGAAAGAACGTGGCCACTGAGATGTGCCAGTGAGGGAGGAGAGTCTGTGGGAAGATGAGAGAGCAGAAGGGGGGTCGTCGCTCAGATGCCGGAACGCTGCGTCGATGCTTAGACCCGGTTCCGGCCAATGAGAGGCGCCGGAATACGGTCTTGGATAGATCTTGGGTCTAGTAGCGACATCCCATCTCAATCAAACTCTATCCCTACCGCCGATCTACACCTACGTACCTGACTTTACGTATAGGTAAATGACTTTCATGTCAGGCTTTGCTGTGGCTTGGTGATCATAAGTAAGCCAGACGTGTCCATTATTCGCCTTGGGGCTGCTCTCTCACTTGCTCATTTTTACCTACTGCAGTGCGTGTACCAGAAGCTGTGAGATCATCCAACATACCTATGAAGAAACTCATCAGCTTTTTGCCGTACGCAAGTGGCTGTCTCACTGAACATATCTGATATATCACATCTTACGAGGCTCAAGTTCCTTCATATCGTTCCCATTAAAGTAGGCCGTGTGTCGTCCTGTTCTTGATATATGCCTATAGGAAGTCGCCTGCACATCAAAACGTAAAGAAAAGTGAAGGGGTGGTTCCGCGAATCAGCCACCAATCCGTTGTGTGTGTATATCGTCCAATGACGGAGCCAGTCCGCGGACATCAACCCGAGGTATCTTGTTTTCCTGCCATTTCTCCCGTCATCCATTTCTTCGTCCCCAAGCTCACATTCTTCTCATAGAGCCATATGCTGTCAGACACAATGCGATCCGACAAAGAATCTGATCGCTTTGCTTCACGACCGCCTCGCATGTTGGCAAACAGACCTTTAAGAGTCTCTTTGCGCAGACAGTTGAGTCCCGAAGGAGCGTGAGATCCACCAAGAAAATTCATTGCTGCTGTAAGGAGACTCATGTCTGCATCATGCTTTTCGTTGTGGGGTGCCGTGACCTTCACACATGGTGCCGCATTACGGCGAGGCTATCGCCGCAATGCTGGACCACTCCACAGTCCTTTGCTCGTCTCCACGACCTTGTTCTGCTCACTGCCTGGCCGCAAACTTGCTGGGACACTGCTGGGTGCCGGGCCTGCATCGGACATGACCACATCATTCTGGCTGCTATCGGCTTCGGGTTGCGTTCCATAGCCTGAGTCCTTGTGGGCCCCGTTGCCGAGGCTGATGGCGCTATCGTCCTTCCTTGCGTTTTGCTGGGTCTTGAGTGCGGCAGCGCCACGTCCAGGCTCTTTCGACTTGGCCCCGTCCATCAGATTGCTCTGGCCCTCGCGAAGCTTGTTGATGGCACGAACTGTATCAATTGCAGCATGCAGCGTCCTACGAGCATTGAAGTTCTTCTTGACAGTGGGCAGCAAGTTCTGGCCTTCGCCCTCGCCATTGTTGAGGTAGCCGGCAACGAAGGGGTGTTGCAGGGCTTCGTGCGCCGTCATGCGCTTGTTCGGGTCAATAGTGAGGCAGCGACGGATGAAATCCTTGGCGTGATCGGAAACACCCCGCCAATAGTCGAAGGGGGTGAAGCTGTAGTCGGCGTTCAAGATAGCTTGCATCTCCTCGAAATCGCTATCGCGGTCGAATGGCGTGTAACCGCACAGAAGGAAGTAGGTGATGACACCGAGCGCCCATACATCCACAGGCTTGCCGTGACCAATCTTCTTGAAGATCTCGGGGGCCATGTAGCCAGGGGTACCGCATGTCGTGGTCAGCACGTGGAACTGCTCCTCATCCATAATGCGGCTCAGTCCGAAATCGGCAATCAGGAGATCTGCATTGTCTTCTGGTGTACGGAACAGGAGGTTCTCGGGCTTCAGATCGCGGTGGACGATGCCATGGTCGTGTAGATAAGCAACGGCGGAGAGCGTCGCCCGAATAAGATCTGCGGCGTCGGATTCGTAGTATGAGCCTTTGCGGCAGATGCGGTCGAAGAGCTCGCCGCCAAGAGCCAGGTCGGTCACGAGGTAGAGGTTGTTCATCGTCTCAAAGTAGTCGACAAGTGTCAAGATGTTCTGGTGGCCCATGGAGACCTTTTTCAGGACTGCGATTTCATTGCGGACCTGTAAGAGGGGTTGTGTCAGTTTCTTGGTCAAGGATGCAGAGGAAGGCAGTCGAAGGCGTACCATGTGCTCTCGGCCGGCCATCAATCGCTTGTTGATGACTTTTGCGGCATAGTAGCGACCGGTGTCAATGTGGACGCACTCCTTGACGACGGAGTAGGAACCGGCACCAAGCGTCTTGCCGACCTTGTACCTGCAGGGTTGGACCTGAGGTGACGGAGATGCTCCGTTGGCGCCGTTGGAAGCCATTGCTGCGGCCAACAGACAATGTGATGAGGGTGCTGGAGGGGGGAAAGAATCGAGGCCACGAGCGTCGCCCAACGATCGAAGAGGGCCAGGCGATAGCTCGGGAGATAAAGGTCGGTTGGGGTTGCGGTCGCGAGATCAAAGATGTTGGCGGGGTAAGCAGATGGCGAAGATCGGTCAGCGGTTTTTTGGGGGCGGTTAGCCTCACTCGACGAAGCTAGCACCAATACAATGGGCTGGTTCGACAATGGTAGGGCGAATGAGACAATCAGCAAAATTGTCTTGATAAAGAATTTGTCTCCGTATCCAAGTCGCAGGAAGAGAGAATTCGAGGCTCGAGGTGGAAGTCTCAGAACAATCTGGCCAAGATTGCTCAAAGGAGCGAGCAGCTGACAAAGTGGGCACGGCAGGTGTTTGGCTGGATTATTGGGCTGATTTGATGATCGACGGTCCCTGGTCGTGTTGACTGCCCCTTGAGAGGGTCTCGCGGGGCCAGTGTGAATTGGACGCAAGGATCAAATCGGCACACAGCAGATAGATGAAGGGGGTGGTGTGCTGTCACTATGACGCTATGTCGCAGATCAATTTGACGGGCGTCGAGCACGCGATGTTGGGTGGAAAGAAGAGACGGTGTTTGGAGAATTTGGAAACCAAAAAACGACGATGGGAGGAAGTGGGAGTGAAGAGAAAGAGAAGGATTCGAGGCTGCGGAGATACAAAGACTGGATGGGAATGGAAGAGACGAACAAGTGGACCACACGCCGCTACACCAAAGATAGTGGACATGTATAGGCATTAGGGGCACTTTAGCATCTAAGCACCATATGCGCCAGCTCGAGACATCAGGGACCCTCATTCTCTCTTGAACATGGATGGTCCCGCAACTTGGAGACAGCTCACTGACAATATTCCCAGCACAGGAGCTCCGGCTCTTGTTCTGACCACTGATCGTCTGAGGATCGCTCTCGCTTTGTCGAGGAACCCCCCCCCTGGACCCCTTCATACGTGTATTTCTTTCCACGACAATTTACTAGGTATTGTTAATAATGAAGCGACCCATTTAGGATGGGGGTGCTGGATGGATGCTGACGGCCTGACGAGGCGGCCCGGGCCCAGCCATGAGAACTGGGGTCCCCACCCCAGCTGACAACTGCTCGGTGGGTGCGTTCTAGCTTCTATTTGGTACATACTCAAAACGGCCCCCAACCAGTCCGTCAGCTGCTCGTCTTCATATCAGATTTCCTCTCGATAGGTAATACCAGCCTTATTAAGTCCTAAGACAAGATCATGGGAAAGCTCTGGTCTGAGGCTGACCTGCAAACGGTTCAGATGTCTGGCCGGAGCAGCCACCACCACTCTTTGATCTGCTTCTGAGCGAGTCTTGCATCTAATATTTACATCTCCGTATGAAAAAGTACACATATCCATACATCTACCCATGTCTAATACAGACGACACAGGTTTCTCTGCCGTCTTGAATAGTAAGCATTCCGTCCTTGGCACATGCTATTGAAATGCCGTTTTCTGAGTCAAAGTTCAGGGTCCAGGCCTGAACCCCTCTTGTTTGCCAGCCGGCCGTTCTTTGGTGCTTGGCCAGCTCTGGACCCTACCCCACACCAATATCTTCTCTCCTCCGTAGTTCGACCGGCTGGCGGCCTGGTGTTTGCATGTCTCGGTTCCGCCAACTTTGTTAGCTGGGCAGAAAAAGCAGCTGGGCGGGCTTGGTGCCACGACTCAGCAACACCCGCCAGGTCGGAATCCATCATCACCTTTTCTTGCCGGACCGAAAATCAGGTGTCGACACTTTGGACATTTCCTAACCTGCTCAGTCAAAAGAACGTCGATTCTGCTTCTTGGTGCTCATTTGTTTCTTCTGCCTCAGTCGTCCCTCGTTGAATTGTTTTGCTCTACACTCCTTGTTAGCCCTCAGGTGCATTGGTGTATGAAAAGACAACTCACATCTCAGCATGTTTCTTCTTCTTGTCAGAACTTGTTTCGCCAGGGACTGTCTCTTGGTATATCCTCTGGATCTCGTCGACGAGCTTTTGCTGGTTTTCCTCCGAGTTGGCATCTCTCTGGCGGTGCGTTTGAGCTTGGAATGTCAGAGAATCAGATCTAGCTGTGTAGTATTTGGATGCCCTGATGCCTTGGTGTAGCAATTTAGGCAAGACTGGTAAGATGTCCTTGACAGGCCAAACCGTGACCGCTTTGCTCTCCGTTCTATCATGACATTAGCAAAAATGCAAGCCAGAGGTTAGAGATACCGGAATATCCAGTATATATGCGAGGAGCCTACTTGTTGACATGCTGACCACCCGGGCCACTGGATCGGGCATAAGTCGTTTGCCCCTTGGGGAGTTGGCTACCGTTGAAGGACTTGTGCCATGATCTTGCCTTTTCCAACTCTTCAGGATCAAAATCCGCCTCGAATGCTTGGAAGCGAGCCCAGCGGACAAGCTCCAGGGGTCGAATGAAAGGGCTTCCCAATATTGGACGGACAGATTGATATAGACTTGTCGCAAACTTCATTGTGGCGGTTAAGTTGATCAAAGGAAGACGTCAAATTGATGGAGACTGAAGTTCAGACAAAAAGCCATCTGACTGGCGACAAGATGAGAAATTAGATTGAATTCCGGGTTGCAAGGTAGGTAATTCTTTGCAGAACTGACCAGTCTGCACCAGACAGTAGTCATCATCATTAATTGATAGACCAAGTTGGTGGATCTGGACTTTTCCTGAGTATTGATGTACCGTGTTTGAGAGATGCTAAACTGTGAGATAGACACGGTATCCGTATTTGGCCAAGCGCAATTGAGCTGCCAGATGAAGCTAGCGTCGGGCTGTGGGCTTCCAACCGTTTTCCCACGGTCACATTGGTCAGGCCTCATTCCGTCCAGCGGGATCGGCCAGCCTTGCGGAGAACAGAGCTCTGGCAGCGGGTGGGATGGCACCTTGCCTACCTGAGGTTGTTTCCTTCCACCTGCAGTCCTTCACACAGCGATTTTTTCGACTTTTCCTCCCAGGCGGCCCTCCAGGCTCCACCACGTCGTTCGTGCCTGAGCTTTTTAACCTTTTTTCCCTTTCCACCGCACATACTTTCACGCGACACCGCCGCAGCAGCCACCAACCACACCTCGGTGCTCATGGCCTCAAGGTTCAACGTTCCTCCTGCATCCTCTCTCACCTCGCCTTTCTCCTACTGCTGAATCGACACCCTTCCGACCTCTCCAGCCCAGCACCAGAGGAAAATAAACTCCCGTCTCAGAGATTTCTGACTTCTCCGAGTCGCCTCTTCCATCTGCTGTCACAACGCACTCACTCACCCATTCATACCTTACTTGGTACTCATTCCGCCGCCCAACCCCATCGGAGATTCCCCCGTGCCTGCAGCCTCTTTCTTTTGCGCCTGCTTCCTTCCTTCCATTCCCACCCCGCCTTCCTGCCACTCTGGGTATCTGCTCTTACTCTCTCGTTTGGACCCCCAAACAAACCAACCAACCCAGCCGTGCTTGCCTTGCCTCGCGCTTGCCTTGGCCCCTAAGTACATGACGGCATTGCTGCGGCTCGACTGAATTTGCTAAAAACAAGGCGCCCGGTTGCCTCGTTCGTCGCTTCCACTCCATTGACATAAAGCCCATTCCTTAACCTGTCCGCCCACAAGCTTGCCTCGTCAACCTCACACAAGCTTCTTCTGCCCGTTTCGCGCAAGCCTTGCCATCTTCGACATCAGCAAGCTTCCAAAGCTGTCGTCACATCGCCCACTCGCATCTTCAGGCCACTATCAACAACAATACTACTTATTACCGCCATCCAGTGCGCCAACAAGTCCAATAGCTTGAATGCCCGAACCGGAGGCCACCCCCGAGTTCCAGGCTACTGCCGCCGACCTCTCGCCCTACTGTCCATCTCCCCTCCACTCCGCCGCTCCAGCCGTTGTACCTGCTCTCCAGGATACTGCTGATATCCTTGATGCAATGACCGCCCACACTAATGGAGTCGCTCAAGGCGATCTAGAAGCACCTGCACATGCACCAATTTCAACCGAGCCGTATGCGCAAGCTGCCGCGGACAACGCAGACGCCGAAGACGACGTCGACAGCCTGGACGATGCCTACGGCGAGGAAGAGGAGACACACACGGACAAGGTTCAGGAACAGCAGGTGGAGCCAGATGCCGGCGAGGATGATTATCTCAAGATCTTCGACTCTCCTCCTCGGGACGCGGATCAAGATGGCGCGGAAGAGGATGATGTATCAAAGGCACCAGAATCCATTCACAATTCCGCCGCTCCTGATTCTTTGACAAGCCCTTCGCAAGTGGCCCCCTCCACCGTCGCTGCCGCTGATTCCTCGTCGGCCACTGCTACTGCTGCAGAACCCTCAGCCAAATCCGCGCCTTCCCAACCAGCTGCCGCCCACCAAGGAGCTGATTCAAGCGCGCCTCATTCGACTGCCAACGGCGCCTCCTTCAACGCACGCAATGACAATGCTCCCGAGGATGACCCCGCCGTTGATATCTCTCGCCTTGTTGCTGAGATGACAGGCCAGGCGAGCGAGTCCAGCAACAATCAATCTCCCACTGGCTCTACTCAGAACCATGATGCTCAGCCATCGTCCAACTTGACCTCGTCTGCGTCTGCCACTCTTCCTCCCAGACCTCCGTTGCCTCAACAGGCGGCTCCCACATATCCATCTGAAGACTATCGAGGCTTTCCTCCTCAGACCGCTGCTTCTCATGTCTCTCCCAACATGATTGCTCCGCCCACGTCAGGTCAACCATCTGCTTACGTAGCTACGGGTGCTCCCGGTGCCCCTAGTACCGCATCCGACGTCTATGGCAGCCTCCCACCTCCACCCGCCAACGGTTTGAACGCGGCCATGCCCATCACTTCAATGAACGCGCCTCCCTATCCCATCCCTGGCGGCTACCCGGCCGGCCCGACGGACGATACTGCTGACCGCCAGAAGCTTTGGGACACTTTCGTAAACGACGAGCGCCGTTACATGGCTGATGCCAAATGGGATAAATTCCCCGATGGCTCACGCATCTTCATTGGTTCGCGCTCTCTCTCATCAGGCAGACCCGACGGCGCCATTGACTTCTTTTCAGGCAACCTGTCGAGCGAACGCGTTTCCAAGCGGGATGTCTTTGATATCTTCCACAGATACGGCCGTCTCGCCCAGATCTCACTCAAGTCCGCCTATGGCTTCGTTCAATATCACAACCTCGAAGATGCCCAAGCTGCCATGGACAACCTGCAGGGCAGCGAAATCAAGGGTCGCAAGATTCGTAAGTAGTCTTCAACAACATGCACCGAGAGGGCCTTGCTCACTTTTACTAGATCTGGAAATCTCACGCGCCCAAAAGAAAAAGGACGGCAACGAGAGGAACCGCTCGCCAGACCGTGGCGGTCGTGGAGGCCGACAGTCAGGACGTCAAGATCGTCATGACGGAGCCAACTCACACCATGACAACCGTCGTAACCGCGATGATTACAGGCCGGGACGTAACAGCCCTCCCCGACGTGGCCATGGCCGTGAGGATAGTCACGGTCGGGATCGTTACCAGCAGGACTCTCATGACCACTCCCGCGGTCGTTCGCGGTCCCCGCAGGGATATGGCCGCCACAACGATGGATACCGCCGGCGTAGCCCCAGCCCGCCTGCGGCTTATGGTCGTCCTTCTGCAGCCGACGACCGCCTCGACATTCCTCGCCGCTACGGCAATCAGGTTCCTGACGTTCAATTCTTGCTCCTCCAGGATCTTAGCCGCGACTTCATAACCTGGGTTCAGCGCGGTTTCACCGATCGCGGCCTGAAGGTTGACGTCATGTTCCTCCACCCAAGTTTCCCTCGTGAGGCTATTGTCCAACGCCAAGTCATCGAAGGCGTACACGCCATTGTCGATCTCGACATACAGGCACAGAACATGGGTAAGATCCCGCTCCGAGTCTTTGACCGCTCCGGAGGCGTCAGTGCCCGATACGACGATTACCGAGACATCGATCCGCCGATCGCGGCAGAGCTCGTCCTCCGGGCCAAGTCACAAGCTGTGCCGGCGGCACCTTATCAGAGTGCCCCGCCTCCCCAGCCTCAGTACCCGGGCTACGGACAGCCTTATGGAGGGCAGCCCGTGCATCCTCAGGCACCTGCTTATCACGGAGGCCAGGGGCCGCCACGTGGGCCTCCTGTCCAACAACCTCAACCACCAGCGGGAGTGCCAGCCGACCTCGCCAGCATGATGAGTGGTATTGATAATGCGACCTTGCAACGGTTGCTGGTTAGCTTGAACCCACAGGGTGGACCGGCGGCTGTCAACAATGCTGCCGGAGCTGCAAACGCCCAGCTGCAAGCCCTTATGGGTGGTCTTCAGCAAGCGCCGCCTGCGGCACCACCGCAGCCTGCCTCGTATGGCGGACAGGCCTTTGCTCCGAATGGCGCGCCACCCCCGAATGGCCCGAACGGCCACCCTCCTGCAACTGGAACCGGTGATTCCGCAGTGCAGGTTCAGAATATCATGGCACAGCTTGCCAGATATCGGCAGTAAGGTGTGCTATATGGGAGCTCATTTCACTGGCGCTTGATGAAGATATGATGTGGAAGGGGCTTGCTGATTTGTTACCCGGCGTTAGGGGCATGCAGTCCCATGAGGAGGCTGCTCAAAAGGGTGGGAAAACTGTGCTTTTCTTATAGATTTGCAGAAGCCATGCCCAATAGGGCGGGTTGCTGTTACCCAGGCGTTCACTATTACATAAATACAGTAGTTCAAAATAGGTTTGTTCCTTCAAAGTTGAAACACAGTTTCAAAGTCCAAAATGCGAGGAATCTACAGCTTCTGAGTGGGCTTGTTCAGGAAAGCCGTGCACTCAATCTCGACATCGGTGCCCAGCGGTAGCTGGTACACTGCAACACACGTGCGGGCCTTTCCATTTATAGTATCAGCACGCATTCTCTCATTTCCTTGATCGCCACGACCTGCCAGGAACGACGAGCAAAGTCAGTTCTAGACATGAATGAGAGAGAAACTCACAGGCTTGGGATCAAACGTGAAGAACTCGTCATACGCCTCGTTCATGGTGGCGAAATCGGACATCTGCGTAATGTAGACGTTGACCTTGACGACGTTGCGGAGGGAACTTCCCGAAGCCTCGAGGACGGCGGTCAGGTTCTTGAGGGCCTGGCGGGTGCGGTCTTTGACTGTGCCCTCGGCCTGGACCATGCCTGGCTTGTCGGGGAGGATGCCGATGTTGCCGGAGCAGTAGACCATGCCGTTGTATTTCACGGCTTGGGAGAATTGGGGGAGGGGCGCTGGGGCGGCGGTTGTGAGGACTTTTTCGATTTGGTCGGACATTTTGGTGGTGTTGGTTGTGGTGGTGATAGTTAAGGTGGGTGGTGATTTGGGAGGGCGATATTGAGGGAGGAAGATGGAAATCTGGAGTTATTGGAGTTTCAATGATTTGAAGATGGGTAATTAAAATGTCAACGGAGCCGTGAGCTGAATCAATCGATATAAGATGGATTTAAGTGAGGTGGTGAAGATGATTAATCCAATCGTCAAACGGTAGGAGATTACACCGGCGCGGGGTCGGAGATGGGAAGTGGATCCTTCGTCACCGGCGGGTTGGTGGGGTTTTGATAGCGGGCATGTACAGATAGGGCGCGCAGAAAACGGAAGGGCGCGGATGATGGATCTCTTTTGTGCTTTTGCATGCATGGAATACTCAGTGGATGAGGCTCTTTTTGACTTTTAGGGAGCTTTTGCCGAGAGGCTAACGAACGTGACTTGGGCCCTTGGGTATCTGAACTGGAACAAGTTGATTGCATCATGCGTGGGATTTGGATTGGTTCTGGGGAAAGTTAGTTTCGCCTTGTCACCTTGTATTTTCGTTGGCGAGTCCGGCGTTTGCATTTCATGATTGAGATCTGTACTTGGTTCGTGTGATGTTTTTGTCCTGCATTTGTAGATGATTCCATAAACACTTGCTGATTACAAAGTCTTAGGATGCGAGTATATCCTAAGCTCGAGTCTGCCGATAGAAAGCGCCTGGCCCACTTTGGCGGGGTTGACGGAGGACTTCGCCGCGGGACGGTGATAGCGGGGTAATTTTGGCCGGCCGAAGCCGGCGCAATCCTCCGGGGAGATTGAGATGTCGGCCTTGCGACGTCTTTTAAGCATTCAGATGAGAGCCGCGAATGGTTCGCAGAAACGTATAAAAGCTACTCAAATTGGAGTTTCTATCCTAACGTCTTGTGTGGTAATGATAATCAAGTAAACACTGAGTGCCCAACCCAAAGATACAAGAAACACCACCATCAGAGCCTGAAGGAAATCCGAAGTCGCGCTAGACGTCATACAAACATGTCAATCCTCATGAAGTAATGCCTTTTTTCTTCATTGCTTCCCTTAGAAGTTCTGTAATAGCACCTTCACCCTGCCGAGCAGCCATGTCCAGTAAACTTTTACCTTCTGGGCCTGGTGCTGTGACATCAGCACCTCCATCGAGAAGGCTATAAAATACTTCTGATGTAAAGTAGTAACGATATGATGAAAATGCCTCAGATAGTGGCGTTTGTCCTTTGTTATCCCTTGCATTGGGGTCGGCCCCATGTCGAAGCAGAAACTTGACGAATGGAGAATCCGATATCTTAGCAGCATTCATAAGGGGGGTTCGTCCCTCGTAGTCCCGGCCGTCAATTTCAAGACCCTTCTCAACGGCCTCCTGCACATCGTAAAGGTATCTAGGGCTTGGACTACCTCTCTTACATGCCTCATGGAGGAAGTTCTTTCCGAGATTATCTTGATGCGTAGGATCCAGACCTGCATTCAAGAGGTTCCTCATGACTCGACTAGACCCGTTGGGTCGGACTACGAAGAGAGCAGTCTCTCCGAGCTTGTTCGCTATGTGCCTAAAATCTGGAGGCCCACCATCGAATTGTTGTTGTGACGCTTCATGAGAGAACATGGATCCAGCATGATTACTGTGATGTGTAGGAATGCCCTGGCTCAATAGTAGTTCCACAATGTCGACGTGGTCATTTGATGCAGCAACGATCAAAGGAGTGTTCCCCGCGTCGTTTTGCGCACAAACATTCGCACCTTCTCTAAGTAGAAGCGCTACTGTTTCTGCTTTACCATTCCATTTGCAAGCGGTGTGGATAGGTGTCTGCCCAGATACGTCTCGAGCTTCCAAATTACACCCTCTCTGAATTAATAGTCGAATGATCGCTTCAGGTGCAGCTGCAATTGCCTCGTGAATTGGATTCCTCCCGTACCTGCGACATCCTTTGTTGATGTCTGCTCCACTCTCAAGAAGGAACTCGATGCAAGATCTTTGACCACTTGCGACTGCCGCTACTAGAGGTGTGGGGAAGGGCTCATACTCGGTATCGATGCTGACACCAGTGTCAAGAATGATTCTCGCAGTGCCTAGGTTTCCAGTTTTAACCGCCCTGAAGAGGGCTCTTATGACGTCTTCATATTTGTCCACCGATAACGGTGATCGTAGAGTTGCGTTGGTAGTAACTTTAGCTTGAAGTGCGGACCGCTGCCCAAGAATTAACCGCACAAGAGCTTCCTGTCCCTTTTCGGCAGCGCGAACCAGAGGGCTATAAGATAGGTCTTTTGGTATAAGTTCAGGTTGCGCGCCCAAATCGAATAGCATTCTGGCGATGTCGATTTGCCCTCTTTCTGCAGCAAAGTAAAGGGATGTGCGTCCTTCTTTGTCTGTGCAGTTAATGCTAGGGTGGACTTGGCTGCTCGACTCAGATCCCAGGGTATTGTATGCTGTAGACCCAAATTCTCTTGCAGAACTTGCAATATGTTGCAGCAAGATTCTTGCTACGTCGTCATGACCTTCTTTCAAAGCCGCAAGGAGTGGGTACCCATGGCGGCCGCCGCGTACTTCGGCATCCGAGTCATGGTGGAGCGCTGCCTCAACCAGCCTCGTTAAACCCCTTTCCGCAACGATATATAAGAGGTTCGTAGTACCATGCTCCTGCATTCTGATTCTGTGCCTTTCAAAGATATTGCTTCTCTGTATCCATTGTTCCAAGGGAAAGTGCTGAAGAAACTCGGTCTGTGGGGTGGTCCGGGCAGCGGCATTGGCGTGGTAGAGTACTTGGCTGGTTGCATACTCCAGGAATGGAAATCCACGGTCGATTGCGGCTTGGAAATCGATAGATTGCTTTTTGGATGTACTGAATAAAAAGTCGTCATCGTGCAAGTGTTTAGAAATGTTGACTTGAGTCGAGTATTCATGGCAGCAGTCCCGTAATCGATTGTGGCTTTGAGCCTCGAAATCAGTGCTCATCTCTGGCCAGAGAGTACGCAACCCATTGTCCTTGATAAGAAAGTCACGTACCGACTCGTGAATGAATTGAACAGTCTTATCATCGGACCTCGTTGTTTCAGCCAGTCCCTTAGACGAACTGACAATCAGACGATCCATGTAATCGCACGGGATCTCATTGGGATCCCACTTTTCCAGCGTGTCGGGCTCCAAGCCGGAGGCCAAGGCGAAATAGTATTCTTCGCGGTTTAGAGGTCGTACGCTGTAGAGAACCCACTGAATGCATAGAAGCAGATCGTCAAGGTTCTCTTGGTCTCTTGTTAATATATTCCGGAAGAGCTCGCTCAATTCGGATGGAATTTCTTTCAAGCGACTTTTGACCGCGAATAAGCGACCCTTACGGTACTCCTTGTTAAGAATATCGACCACAAGTACGACCCACATAAAAACTCCAGAAGCTTTTCGTAAGATTTCGGCGATGACCTCGTCACTCTTGGGCCCAGTACCGGCCTTGAGACTAGTACGGACGTACTCTGCAAGATCTCTCTCGTGACCGATCTGGTCCTCCAGAATGAGCTTTTGACCGTATTGTATATCGATATAAGGGTAGTGCCGACTGGAGAAGCAAACGTAGAATCGGATATCGTTCTGAACCGCGTACTGTCCTAGGTCTTCGAAGAGCTCGACCATCTCTCGGACCTCACTTTCGGCGCATTCATCAAGGGCGTCAATGAAACAAGTAAGTTGCCGTTTCCCGAGTTTCCGGACGGCGCTGCGGAAGAGGGTCTTGGTCTTCTCTAAGTCCCAGACTACGAACTCTTGTGTGCCGTCGTTGATGTCGAGTAAAACTTGTAGATCGGGCATTTTCTCCAAAAGCTGATGTAAGAGTGACCGATACATTCCCAGCGTCGACTTCTCGAGCTCCTCGCCTCTAGCGTTAAAAAAGAATGAAATGGAAGGCCCAATCGATGCGGCTCTCCTTCTCGCTCGGCTGAAGGCGAATTTCATGATCGTTGACTTTCCTGCCCCGGGTTTTCCCCTGATCCATAGGAAGCCGTGATGCTGAGGATACATCTTACGATCTATCCAGGTGGTATAGTCAGGATACTCAAGAAGCCACTCGCAGGTTTTGGCATGGTTGGCCTTGATATTGGCGTGCCGCTTGTCAATCTGATTAAACTTGAGTGAGTCCAGAAGCCTCTTGCGATCTGACGATGGTGTTGCTGTGGGACATCGTAAGCAGACATTACCTTGGTGCGAGTAAAGCGTCATTGACTTACCAACAATCTGAACTTCAGGCCGCATTCGAGCAGTGGAGTTTCTATGAGGTGGCGCGATGAGAAGAAGCTCCTTTGCGTATGCTGCGGCGGTAGCAGCGGCATATTTCTGCCATCGCTTTGCTTTGTGGGAATCCGAATAATCACAGATGCCGCGAATGACAAGGCATGGAAAATTGTCCATCAGCCCTGCAGCTTCCATCTCAAAGCATATCGATCCAAGTTCTTTCGCCAATCGGTCCCTCGTTTTCGCATTTTTCATAACCTGATTCCCAGAGGCAATGATTCCGTAATGGATACTCGGGTTGCGCGTTGGCCGTAGACCGCGTGATATCAGCTTCGACCTATCGCAATTGTCGCAAGTTTCCCCGGAATGTTCATATGATGCTTCAAACAGTCGGTCTTCGTCCACGTTTCGATACGAGAACTCTCTCATTTCAGGGTTGCGGGTTTCCATGTCGACCAAAATCGCCGGGATTTGACTTTTTCGGCCTTCGTGGTTGGCTCGTAGTTTAGAGACAGCCGCAAGGACTGATTGGGGAGGTTTGTTTAGACTCCCAATGCGTTCGAAGCGACCCTCGTTTACAGCCTTGCCGAAATCATATTGTACGACCCCCGAGGAATCTCCTGTCGGATTGCTGACCACAACATCACCAAGCCGTATGTCAACCTTTCCGGGAACACCGCCGCCTATCCCAACCATCAAACCAATGTTTATGGAAGGGAAGCTCCAAAGCATGTTGTTTGCCACTACCGCCGCACTGTTTGTGCCATACTGCCCCGAAGGCAAGCACGCGATGACGATGTTATGAGGGCCGATTCCGCCAAATGTATAGACATTGCTGTCGTTCGAGTTCATGTCGAGGGGTTCATGTGTGCAATCGAGCATTGCTTGTGCCGCAGCCATCTCAAGAGGAAGCGCACAAACCCAGCCCACGGTGTATGCCTCATGTGATAGCTTGACCAAGGTCTGCCCCGCGCTGTTCGGCATGCGAAGCGATCCCGTTGTTCTTGCCCGCTTTGTAAGCCCGTCACAACTCTCTTCTTCACTGCTGACGCTCCGTTCCCGTTTCTCTGTGGCATATCTAGGAGCGCTCGCGGGCTGCCAACCGGTAGTTCTTTGTTGATGGTGAGCGTGATCGCTGAACATTTTGATCAGGCTCCGGGATTCGAGGGGTTTCGGCCGATGTCGTCTTCCTAATTTGCGATTGTCAGTTGCCGTGAAAACAGGTGTGTGATGAATGAGCTTGTACTTACCCGGTATGGCGATTGCGATGTGGCCGAAATCGCAGTGAGGGTAATTTCAAATCAAGTTCAAGCCAGGCAAGAGAAATTGACGAAGAAGAAGGCTTTGCGGAAGGCAACTTGGGGCAGACGAGTCTTGCCTGCCACTGCGAAATACCTACCTGAGTCGAAGGCGTCAATCAGGCTGCGCCAACATAGCCCGTGTCGCCGCAGCAATTTTCAGCTCCTCGCAGCGTCCAGTAGCATTTCGATCACAAGGTCCCTGCTGCATGGCCAAAAAGTGTCCAATCGGATAAACGACTGTGGTGGAAATTGCACATTGTTGGAAGATGCTAACGGAATTCGATAACCTGTCACATTCAATATCTGCGGCACCAGGTATGAGTCTGCCTGACCACGAGTGCGGCACAGCGTGCTATGCCATTATCTCCATGACTTTGCCTGCGCCTGATGCCGCAACCCCGCATCAGCTTTACCATCCCCAAACTCGATATCGTTGCATACAAATGCTCTCTGGGAATCCGCCCGTCGAAGTAAGTCGAAACTACCTGAGGGGCTCATAGAATGTCGGCAATACCACAGCAGAGCCGTTACGAGGGTTATTGGAATTGCTACAACCCAGTAGACCCAGAACTTTCCAGAGACGTTCCACGAGTCTGAGGCCGAGTCGTAGTCAAAAAATGAAGTGCTGAAGACGGCTGAAACGAAAGTCGCCGGCAGGAAAAGTAGTGTTAGAAAAGCCACGGTTTTCATGGCCTCGCTGTCCCTCTGCGTCGCGCGACCGATGGCTACAGAAATCCGGGCGTCGGACTGAGCAACCATGTTGTATGCGAGCGAGATCTCGTTGAAATGTCGAGCCTTATTGGAAGCCGAGCGCTCTTGAAGGCTGGTGATCATCTCTTCGAAGAATTGCAACCGCTGATGCGTGTAATTCCAAGCCCGTTTCCATGCGGTGGCAGACCTGGACTCATCATCATGGCCAACTTTGAATGCCTCGTGTTGCAGTAGAATCTTCCTAGCAGCCTTGACGGCCAAATCCAATGTCTCGGAAACGTGTATAGCATGTCGTGCCGTTTCGTGTAAATGACGAAAGCCCGGTGCAGGTTTTGACGTGGCCAAGTCGGAGCCGTGGGTTATATCCCTTTGCTTCTCTGTGGTCCGGACTGTAACACGAACAGCCCATACAGCGGCATCTTGCAAAGTAACGACCTTCTCCAAGATTCCGATGTATATCCAGTAGGGGTCGAGGAAGTAGTCCGCGCTTGGAACGGCGTAAATGGGGTCGGATTCATCTTCCGGGACCCTCTCCATACAATTCGCCGCTGGTTGGACGGCGTCGAAGACGATGAGGACTGTTTGACGAGTCTTCGCCACCCAGTGCGTAATCACATTGGTTTTTGACCATTCATATCCTGTATGTCCTTCGTTCGTGAGCTTCACTGGGAATCGCGCCCATGTAGCTATTCTCCCGTCAGTCAGCGTCCTTGGCCCCCATCATCACAACTCACTCAGTCCTGCAGTATTTCCGTCCTCATCAATCTTTGTCTCGCATCCAAAGTAGCCGTTGGAATCTCTGCAGTATCGTTTCCACCAGAGATCTGGGATCATGAAGGCTTTAGCAAACTTCTCACGGCATGCTGAACATTCGCGTATTTTCTGCGCAAAAGCATTCCTATCCACTTGTCAGCATTGAGCCGTCACCCAAGCTCTACTAAGCTTACACGATGCAGACATCGAAATCTTCCTCGTCTGCTAGAAATGATGCCGATCCCTTCTCAATGGTCGTTGTAGTTGATCTCCAGTTTTGATCGCCTATTCCTATCAGTATGGCCAGCAACATAAGAGGAAGCGTTTCAACCTCACCTTTCTTCCAGTACAACACTTCTAGTTCTTGGCAAGCGCACGTGGGGTCCATTTTGACTCATGACATTGTAATTGGTGAAAATTATGTCATAGAACGGAGTGCGAAGTGCTTATAAGACTAGATTAAAGGACTCAGCTGTGAAGATTGCTCAAGAATCGTTGTGTTGTACAGCAGGCTCTGAACGGGAGCCGCAAACCCCGCTCTAAGCGCCGATGCAGGCTGCATGACAGGGCTTCTCGATACCCTGAGTTAACCAACCAGCCATTTGAGGCAGATCTGCTGCTGGAGGTAGGCGTGGTCTTGATAACTGTCCCAATCAAAGACGACTTCCCAACATATGAGCTTTGCGAGCTGTGTAATGTGACACCGAAATTCATGCTCAGCCACCAGCCTTGCCGTCGCCAAGTGGAATGACTGGAGGAAGCCTGGAGCTAAACATTGCGGCCCGAATGCTGCGGTTCTTGGCCCGTCCGTTGTGGATGTAACAGCTTTATAAGGTGACATGCAGAAGAGAGCAGTCGACAACAATTGCGATGCCGTCTGTATGGATCGAAGTGCAAGAGCGACGATGCTGGAGCCAGTGGAATGGAAGGGTCTTTCGGCAGGGTCCTTCCCGTCCGCCCACGAACAGCTGGGATGTTCGCTGAAATGTCACCGACGCCTGCTTGGCAATGGGGAGCACTTGCCTCCACCAGAAACGGGAACATTTGGGGGAAAGCTCAGGGGTCACCTCCTTAGCTTCTTCTTTCTGACCAATCACGACGTGGCTTACCAAGCAATTCATCGCAGCTGGTCGATACACCTATTGGAAAACGAGCCTAAGCCAATCTAAAACCGCCTCGACTGCGAGGTGAGACTTTGGACGAAGATGCCAGCTGTAAGGTGTTCGTTTTGCCGTGTGTAGTCGGTTGCTCAGGCACGCTTCTCGATATATGACAAGTGACGGGAACCTTCGCCAATTCCTGCTGCAACTCCATTTCGTCTTCATTTGTGTAATTACCCGCTCGGTCCGAGCTTGCGGATTATCACAACCTTTTCCTTCCTGTCTTGCCTTTTGTATTTCTCATGTGGCACTGAGCTCCATTGAGCTTCCTTCTTGTCCAACTCTGCCTCACCATTACCCGCGTCACCCGTGAAAGATTGATCATCATGAGTTGGCCCTACCGCTTCGTCGACCTGTCCAAGGAAGAGGTTCAGGTCCGGAGACAGACCCTGGATCGTTATGGCAGCTATGCTCAGTACTCGGCACTGACGCCAATCATCATTGCTTTGCTATTCCGGCTCGGGGCGTATCTCAGTCAACGCTGGCAGTCGGGAGCTTCCTACTCTGCTGTCCCAGGCTCCCCTGAGCTGAAGACAAAGAGACAGAGCTGGAGCCACAGCTGGGATGCCACAATCAAGAAGTGGAAGTGGTGGCTGGCCGACGATGTCTACTTCATGGGGCAGCATTGGGGTCAAAAGGACCAATGGGTTTTTGGTTTGGCCTGGGCGTCATGGCTGCTGGTTCTGAGCGTGTTGGAGACGGGCGATGGTGAGTTGTGAATCCCCTCAATTGGATGTCAAACGTGATGAAACTCCAACCTCGACCCTGCAACCAACCCCCAAGAGACTCAAGTGAGCCTCGAGAAATTTATGACTTCATGCTCAAAAAACTGCCATTCAGATTGACCAAAATCACGACATGTTTCTGACTAGCTGTAGATTACCTCCATCTCACCAAACGCTTTGGCATCATCGCAGTCTCCCAGATCCCCTTTCAGTACCTGCTGGCATTGAAGAGCTTCAGCCCCATCGCCAAGGCTTTCCGCACATCTCACGAGGAGCTGAACAAATGGCACCGCGTTCTCTCCCGTGTGACGCTATCCCTTCTTGTCCTCCACGCCGTATTCTACCTGAACTTCTTCGTGGCCAAAGGCATCGTTCAGAAGCGCCTCTTTGCACCCGTTGTCTTCGCCGGTGTCGTTGCGTTTGCAACCATGAACATGATGACTTCAACAGCGGCTGCCACCGTTCGAAGGTACTCGTACCGCGTCTTCTTTATCACCCATCTTATCGGCGCCTTTGCAATTCCGGTCCTGGTCTTCTTCCACGCCAAGTCGGCTCGCCTGTTTATGGTCAAGGCTATCATCGTCTTCCTCATCGACCTTACCGTCCGTCGTCTCCGGACTGTAATGGCTCTCTCAAAGGTTGAGACCATCCCTGGCACGAATCTGATCAAAATATCCGCCTCAATCCCTCAGCACAAGATCAATGCTTTCCATACTCGCCCAGGTTCCCACATCTACCTCAGCGTACCCGCCGCGGCACGACCTGGAGCTGGCCCAACATCCCCTGATGCAATGCTCTTTGAATTTCTCTTCAACCCCTTCACCGTTGCATCCGTCGACGAGGACAACGGCAGCCTCACTCTGGTAGCTCGGCAACTTGATGGCCCGCTCACACGACATCTCGGCCGCTTCGCAAACGCGGGCACCGGCATCGAAGACGGCAAAGTCCCGCTCTGCATCGAGGGCCCGTACGGTGCCGCATCCCTCCACTTTGACAAACTCACCGGCTCCTCAGTCGACCGCTTCCTGTTGGTTGCCGGCGGCGTGGGCGCAACCTTTACCGTACCAATTTACCACGCCATCCTCCAAGACAACCCCAGCGCCAAGGTCGAACTCGTCTGGTCCATCCGCGGCGCCAGCGACACAGCCTGGGCTACGGCCGCCGAAAAGTCCATCTCCAAGAGCATCATCGACGACCCCAACGTCCGCGTCTTCCTCACAGGCGATGCCCTCGACTCGGACTCTACTGGTCCCATGGCCGGGCTTCCCTCCGAGACGAACGCCGAGGGCGAGATGGAGATGAGCTCACTGCAACGTGACCGGAGGCGGAACCGCCTCACCAGCGAGAGCAGCCGCAAGCGTCCGGACTTACGCAAGATCGTTGACGAGTTCTTCAGGCAGGGGGCCGAGGAAAGGGTCGCGGTACTTGTGTGCGGGCCGGCGGAGATGGGACGGGAGGTGCGGAAGTATGTCGGCGCGTGGGTCATGAGGGGCCGGGATGTGGTGTGGCACAATGAAGCCTTTGGCTGGTGAGGGCCTGCATGTTTGTGGATTTGAATACTTTGAATCGATAGAAGGTCATGGCCGAGGCTACTGGGTTGGCGTTTCTGTTTTGGTTATTCGTTTGTCTACCCTAGAAATCATAGCCATTGTTCCAAATTCTCTGTTTCTGGCCCTGGCTCAGTAGTCGTGTTCTGGTCCTCACGATGTAAGAGTGAGATATGCACAGTATGATGAGGGGAAAGAATGTCATTTTATCTATTACGAAACACGCTGCTAGGATGAAAGGCCTCCCTAAACGCCAAAAATCGTAACTCAATGCTCATCCGTCATATCGCACACGTTTCCTGGGCTTCCTCCTTGCTACAGAGCTTTAATCAGCCCGCTTCTTGGAATCGCCAATATCTCCCGTATCCATATCCTTGCTCTTGACTCCGCCGATATCACCATCGCCATCTTCCTCTTCCCAGTCATCCACCTGGTTCTCATCCCAATTGTCCACTTCCTCCTCAAGCGACCTGCCTCCACTGCTAGCACCAGCACCAACACCAGCGCCCCCATCCCTCGCACCACTAGCCTCAACAACACCAGTCTCATGTCCCTCCCCAAGCTCTACATCCTCCTCGTCCTCCCCGGGGACAGCCTGGTATGTCTTGGTGCGACGCTTGCGCTCGAGCATGCGCTTGTGGTACCACGAGCACAGGCCGATGCCCGCGAGCGAGCCGACGACGTTGGCGACGATGTCGTAGAAGTCGAACTCGCGGCCGTTGGGGAGGAAGCCCTGGAGGAACTCGGAGCCGACGCCGAGGATGAAGGTGCAGACGGTGAGGGTGAGGTTGAGGGTGCGGCGGCGGTTGGTGTCGAGGATCCAGTAGAAGACGATGGTAAGGAGGAAGAAGGTTGTGAAGTGGAGGACCTTGTCGTTTACGTATTGGCCGAGTTGGAGGGTTGTTAGGCCTGCGTAGCCCGCGACGAGGAGGAGGGCGAAGAAGACGCCTGAGGAGGAGGAGGGGAGTGTTAGCTTGGGTTCTGCGTACTTGCATTTGCGAGCTTGAGCCGAAGTTTGAGCTCGAAAGGAGATGAAGTTGAGCTTGAGCTTGGGCTGGGGCTTAGGCAGAAGCTGAAGCTGAGAGATGGAGCTAAATTGTCCACTCGGCTCTGCAAGGAATCGATGAAGATCCAGAACCATGGTTGACCGTGGTCGAGACTCTTGACGTACCTGCAAAGGGCAAACGTATCCGCATTTTGAAGAGACCTGCAGGAGCTGCTGCAGATGGTGGTGTGATTGGTAGCTTGCAATGGTAGCTAAGGTAGCTAAGCTTCTGGAGTGTCTCGAAGACTTATGGGCGGCTCGAGTGATGGAGGTGTGTAAGGACGTTCAGCTACAAGCTGGTAGACGAGAGAGATGTCAAGGTTCGTGTTGTGCGTTTGCTTCTCAAAGATGAAAGGGAAACTGGCCAGGGTTGTTCGTAATGGGGTCGTCACGGACGAGGGTGAGGTGTCCAGCTGGCCGGAGCTCCCAAGCGACTGGATCGGGGTGAGCGAGGGAGAGCTTTTTTTTTGGTCCTGGTGCGGGAACGCGAAATGGAGTTCAGCCCACTGACGGAAGGAGATGTGCAGCAATGGTGGCGCCCCCCAACCCCAGGCTTTACTGCGTAAGGTACGGGACCTTTCTTCGAGGACAGGGGTAGGCCCCCGAGGATTTTGGAGCAGATGGAGGGGGCCCGGTTTGGTCGGGTTCAGGTGGCCCGGGCGGAAGATGCCGTGGGCCGCAGTTAGGTACTGTCGCGATATGGATGTCTGGGGGTGCCAGACGCGATGCGCGCCCGTGGATGCGGATGAGGTCACTGGGGGTGGGTGGTGGGAATTGTGAGGTGCACGGGATGATGTGTAAAGGGAGCGAATTGACATGTCTGGTGGTGTTGCGGAGAGTCGCTAGAGACTTTCTGACATTTTCAAACCTCTGTAAAGCACATAAGCATCACCACTTTGTTCGGCATTAAAGTACTCCCAACTTCCTCCTCCCCTCCCAAAAACAAACTCTCTGTGTTGTGTTGCTGGCCCGTCCTGCTGGTGTGCTTTGGTGCCTGGGGTGCGCTTCGTGGCTCGTTGCTGACTGCGACTGGTTGGCTGGGGCCATCACGTGACAAAAACGTACGCGATCCGATCGCTCAGCGCTGGGCCAAGGGGGGGGAATTACGGTGGCCTCCGCTCGCGCCGTCGTCGGCATTGGAAGTTCATGTACCTGCATCCCGCAATCGCGGCACCCATCATCACCCCAGTGCACCTCATTTCTGGGTCCGAAAAAAAGGTAGATGAATTGACGAGCATACTGAGACCTTGACAATTCGTTTTTAAGTACATGCGACAGTCTTCGTGGTGGTCTGTGCTGCGTAACTCGTGGTCAACCAAGGTTCCCTGTACCGCTAGCAGCGGCCAACTCGCCGTCTTCAGGCAAGGGAAAAGTTCCATCGCGTACTTGCGTACGAGCCTCTCCAAATCCTCAACCTCACCTCTCGGAACCACCCAAAAGACCCCCTATTCCAATCCATCAATACACAACAACCACAATCCGTCACGTCTCCGAAACGCAAAGCTCATCTCTATCGATGTCGCTCTTTCTACTGATGCGCTCATAACGACCCTTTGCCGCCCGGACTCGGTCCCTGACGAGCGCATTTCCTTGCGCATGGCGACACGCCGCCCACCTGTCGCTATCATCAATCCGGGCTCAAAATGTCCCTCCCCAATGGCCACCACGCATGGCAGCCGCCGTCCCTCCATCATCAACCCTCCAGTCGCCTGTTCCATCAACTTGATGATGGTCCTGCGCGAAACGGAACCCCCGTCGACCATTCAATGTCCTTGATGCCTGAGGCACAACCTGATATTGAAGAGGAACGACGACGCGCCTTGTTCAAAGATCTCTATCACAAAAGCGAGGCAAAGATCTCGCTGCTATTCGCTGACGACGGATCATACAACTATTCCGCCATCGATGCGTTGCGCCGCCCCTCGGCCCCCTCCCCCTCCACCTTACCCCCTACCACCGACCATGCGCCGATCCAAGAGCCTCCATTAAAGAAGGCCAAGCGGGTCATCGACGAAGACGACTACGGCGATGACGATGACGAGGATGAAGAAGAAGACGCGACCGCAGCCGATTCGAGTAAACCCGTGAACGGTATTGCGGCCGCCGGCGCCGGTTCGCTACTCTCCCCCTCAAAGTCCGGTAGTTCGCCCGTGCACTCCGTCAGCTCCCCCGGCAAACAGCTCGAGAAACTCAAACAGGCCGACGGATCTGGAGATACCACCAAAACGAGCGAAGATGCGCGCAAACAGCTGGAAGAGGCGCGTAACGCGACCGAAGAAGCGGCGAGGCGGAGCTTCCATACCATATTCTATACTCTGGAAAACGATCGGACTGCTATGCTGGAACAGCAGCAGCTGGAGGAGTCCGAAAAGCAATTGCAGGCCGAGATGGAGAACAACAATAACCACAGTCAGACAAATGGCGCCCAGGCCGAGAACCACGGGTCGCTCAGCAGCGCCAACTTGGGCGCGTCGAGTTTAACCCTCAAGCACTTGATTGCGAGGATAGACATGAAACGCGACCAAGTTCGCGCCTCTGATGCAGAATTGCGGTCGCTCATGAACGAAGTGCGAAAAAACCGAAGTAAATGGGCTAGCGAGGAGAATGTCAACCAAGAAGAGTTGTACGAGGCCCTCGAGAAAGTCTTGACGGAGTTGAAGGCACATACGGAATACTCAACGCCCTTTCTGCAGAGGGTGAATAAGAGGGATGCGCCGGATTACTATAACCGTAAGTTGCCTCCAGGCAGACAAGTTTGACTCGGATTGGCTAACCACCCTCGGCACAACGCAGTCATCAAGCAGCCAATGGACATGGGATCTATGACCAAGAAAATCAAGTCCCTCACGTATAAATCGAAGGCGGAATTCGTCACCGACCTAAACCTGATATGGGACAACTGCCTGCGCTACAACCAAGATATGGGACACCCTCTGAGGCGGATGGCCAATGGCATGAGGAAAGAGGCCGAGAAGCTTATCCCTCTCATTCCGGACCTCGTCATCAGACCGCGAGCCGAGGTCGAGGCAGAAGAGCGCCGAAAACAGAACGGTGGCGAGGAAGACGGCGGTGACGACTCGGACGATGAACCGATAATGTCATCTCGCGGTCGTACTGCCGGAACCAAGGGCGCCAAGTCTCGGAAACAACCCACTGATCAGAAGGAGGGCACCCCCAGTGTTGACCAGAAACCGGTGCTACAGCTGAATGGCCTGCTGGCTAAGGGCCGAGAAGGTTCTGAAGCAGTTGATGGTAGCGGATTCGGTACGCCAATCGGTGGCTCGGCAACGCCTGGCGGCGTCAACGGACATTCGGGCATCGGAAGCAATGCTGACGCTATGGATATCGATGGGCCCACGTTGAACGGCATGGCCTTGGGGCAAGCTCTCAATGAGGCTGCAGAACAGGCCTATGAGGACGAAGAGTACAAGATCTGGAAGCAAGTGACGAAGAAGGACCGAGCACTCATCGCCAAGGAACGGTATCAGCTTTTCAAGGACAACAAGCTCAACACCGACGCTCCTGCTCTACTCCGAAATAAAGCCGGCATTCGATGGTATCTGAGGGGGCAAAAGGAAGCCGAAGCCCTGGGCGTCATTGGCCAAGCCCAGGCGGACTCGTCTGCCATTGCTGCTAAAGAGGCCGCGAAGCCTGCCGAAACTCTGGCTGAGGGCATGGAAGGAGAAGAGGAAAAGATTGTACCAGCATACTACGAACCTCTGACAGTTTTACCGGACATCCAGCCAAAGCTGCAGTGGATCGAGGACGGCGAGGGCCATGTCATCAACCAGCATGAGGAATATCTTCGAATGATCCCCGAAGGCCACTTCAAGGCGCCTAAGAGCAAGTTTGCCAGCAAGATCGACAGCAACATCCATCAGATCCAGGAGACGAGGAAACTATCGAGCAAGATCGGCGTGATTAAGCAGATGCAGATCCAGACTCAGGTATATACAGGCGTCGCCGGCGGGTGTATAAGTGTTCTAACGCATGTGTTCTAGGTTTATAATAACCAGTTTCCCAAGTCCAACTACGAATCTTTCGTGGAGCAAGATGCCGAGCCATCCTTCATCGCAGATGATGGCCCAGTCATTGCGCCAGAGACTTGCCGTAGTGCCCTCCAGCGCTCCGTAGCCAAGATTCTCTACCACACCGGTTTCGAAGAGCTTCAGCCCTCTGCTATTGACACCATGACGAGCTTAGCATCTGACTACTTCGAGAAGATCATCAAGACCTTCAATGTGTATCGCGAGGCAGAGAAGATCGAGGCACCAGTATCCCGTGCCGAAGGAAGCTCTCGATTCCAGTCTCGCTTCACTCCCGAGGAAATTATCTTGCACACACTCGATGAAAACGGTTGCGACCTGCTTAGTCTGGAGTCTTACGCCAAGGACGAAGTCGACAGACTCAGCACGAAGCTTGGCGGCATCCACGAACGTATGAAGTTCCATTTGACCGAACTTTTGCGGCCTGCCCTTACCCAGGAAGCCGGACAAGATGGTGTTGGTGCCTTCAAAGACGGCAGCGAGCAGTTCGTTAGTGGTGACTTTGCTGAGGATCTCGGCGAAGACTTCTTTGGTTTCAAGGCCCTTGGTCTGGACAAGGAGATGGGCTTGGATATGCTCTCGGTTCCTCTTCACTTGCTTCAGTCCCGTGTTCGCAACCAATTCCAGATGCAGACACAGACGGTTGGCGCGGAGGTCACCGACCTCTTCGAATCCTTGCCGCCTGTTGAGCCCATTACGACGGAGAACATCCACGGCCAGATTGGTCTCGTCAAGAACTTCTTCCTGGCTAAGCTACACGCTAACGGCGATACGCCCTTGATCGAGGACGAGGAGCTTCCTGTTAAGCAGAGGCGGCCCAGACCCCGTCTTGGCGCATCTGGAAAGATTGTCTCACCGCAGAAGAGGCCGCCCAAGGAGCAGATTGCCCTCGCTAAGAAGAAGAAGAAAATGGAATTGGCGGCGCAAGCCAACAAGGATGCCAATGCTTCTCCAGAGAAGAAGGGCGAGACTACACCGGCAAAGAAGGTCAAGCACGCAAACATCAATGGCACCGGACCCAATCCAGCGGCGATCGCGTTGCCTCCAAGCATGGAGCGGAACGAGAGCATGCAAAGCCAGGGCAACGCCAGTCAGACCGATAAGGACGAGCCCATGGGCATGATGAGTCCCGAGAGTATCGAGAGATGAGACACAAGGACATCATGAGACTTGCGATTTCTCATACCTATATATACCCATTTTCCGTACACAAACATGGTGACTTATTGGCGATCCTGCCACCGAGTCCCGAGTGGAACCGGGTTTCCAACACCACCCTTTCAGAAGCATGTCGCGGATGCCATCGAGACGGCTTTGGATTTATGAGAAGCAGTCTCTTTGCAACCTCCCAAATCCTCAGACATTGCTTGGCATCGTACACCTCTCCAATATACGTGTTTATGCACACTCCCTTTTTCATTTCATCAAACATCCATCGGCGTTGAGGTTGGATCGTCGTTTCATTGTTCAGGAAGGGAAGATATAATGCTGCACAAAGAAAAAACCCCGAAATACATAGCTCGGCGCGGCTATCACTAAGAAGACAGGGATACCCAAAAGCCAATAAATTGGCCGTCATTCAGGGAGGGAATCATTATCAGAGAAGAGACCGAAGATGTACGGTTTGGTTTCTTGTCGTTTTTCAACAGTGGAAGGGTGGATTTGAAGATCTTCTTGTCCGTTGGCGGTACTGCAGCGCGGAAGATATTCCGCCACGGACTAGAGAAGGGCGGGGGAGGTTTATTTGGTTAACGAACTTTTTTTGTTTTTAT